CCAGAAGCCGGGTTTGCCCAATATAATCCCCAAAACCCAGTCCCGAATCCGAAAAGCCTACCCACGTCCACTGTGACCATATCGTCCTCCTCGACAACAATATTACGACTGCCGTGGATATGGATTTAGTGACTAATTACATTAAATCGATCGAGAAAGTGCTTGATGAAACTGTTCCCAAAACTATCCCGCTGAGTGCTTCTGGCGGAGGAAAACTCCTCATCGAAGCTGATGTCGGAGGTCCCGATAGGGACGATGTAATTAGTCGCGAATGGGTTAAAATGAGCTTTTCTCCACCATATTTGAATGCTTTGCCAATGGATCAAATATATGACGGCGTCTCGCGTGTACCGAAACCGGATATTGTAACGAGGACTAAATTTTCTTTGGCGTTCAATGTCTGGGGTTTTAGGGGACCGTGGTCCTGGGCGTAAGACGATTTACCGCGTCTCAAATTTGATTGACTGTTGATTTAACTTTCTGGAGATCTTTCGATACATACTGTTAAAAATATCTTTCCTCATTTCTACATCATTATAAAGATGATATTTACTTACTGGTGCTGAATTCCCACTCCCTGTTCTGTCTCTGCTTTCTATGGCTCTTGTTTCAAATTACATTCAGCTTTTTTTATTTTTTTGGTCTTACGAGACCAGATCGTTCATTCCACGAAATACTGAGCCTAATGGTTATGTTTTGGAACATATGACCTATTTTCAAAATGTGGAATTATGCCATCGAATTTCTCCCATCTAACTTCTATCTATGCAGACCAGCCAAAACCGTGAATTTAGGGTATCCTCTCCAGAACCCTTCGCTTATTGCTTCAGGGATCGTGCAATACTCGTATCCGTACATCGACAAAGCCAATTACCAGAAGGCGCCTATTTCCCAGCACTTATTCCTGCCCTACTTGATGCACCTCAGCCACCCATCCTCATAGGGAATCCAACATTTCCGACTTATTTGTTTTTTTTTTTTTTTTTTCAACATCGACAGTC